AAGGCATATGACTCCTGTATCACTGAGCATTAACAAGCCCCTTAAACCACCACTCTGCGTGTGGAGTGCAGTAACAACGACAATAACAACGACGGAAAGAAGATACAATGTAAGAGCTTGGAAACCGTCTCTAATTAAGGTCAACAAGTCAGCAATTTTGCCGGCCTTGGGAATCTGTACTTGAGTAGAGTCAGTTGGATATGGTCAAATATTGGGAGCTGTGGATATGTTGGATATGTTGCTTCGCTTATACTTTTCTATTTCTTTGCTATTTAGTTTGTTGTACATGGCATTGTATGATCAGTATCGATTAGTAAATGAAAGCAAGCTGTATACTTTATTTCTTAAAACCTTTTTTCTTATCAATTTCAGAGCAAGTAACATAGTTATGCATACAAATTATAATTATAGATGCTTCTATGGAGAATATAACTTAATTATGAACAATCAAAGAACTTTTATCTGCATTCCCTGGAGCAAAGCTAGAGCTTCGGATTTCAATGTATAGAACTCGGTTTTGGCAAATTTGCAGTAAGTAATGTCCCTTGAGAACATCTCAACAGTCCAATCACACGTCTCATTCATATCTTCCTTGAAATTGATTTAGTCTACCTTCGAATCAACTATTCTTCTGAAATATCAATCCATAGCGCATTTTCCGAAGGTAGGAAGAAAGAACATATTGTAGGTTTTTGAGCTCCCATGAAGGACTAATTGGACTAGCTTACGTGTCTCTGTTTATCATTTTATTTGGATAAAAGTTAGGATTAGGGTTTTCAATGGCAGCGATTTGGGAATGGTTGATATAGTGATTAGGGTTTAATCGTCGATTTAACATTTAAAAGGTTCAGTTTTTGAGCTCTTATGTAGGACTAGTTGGACTAGCTTTCGTCTCTGACCTTAAGAAGAAGTAGTAGCAGTTTCAGTGATATCTCCAGCTTCAGTTCAAAGAGAAACGAACTGTGAGATGATATTGTATGATCAGTATCGAGTAGTAAATGAAAGCAAGCTGTATACTTTATTTCTTCAAATGTTTTTTCTTATCAGAGTTCAATGTATAGAACTCGGTTTTGGCTGCCTTCCCTGGAGAATATAACTTGGTTATTTGTCTGCAGAGGCAATTCTAGTTTTGGAGTTAAATCTAAGGCTAAGTTGTTAATGAGTTACGTTGCTGAATTAGAAACATCTGAGCTAATAGGCCATTTTGTTTG